ACAGGGAATAGTCACTTTAGGGCAGAAATGGTAAAGATAATAAAAGCAACTAAAAGAATGTCCAGAACATTGCCGTGTTAAAGCCACTTAAATGCCAATAAAATTAAGCAAAAGAGGAGTCTTTTTTTTTTTTTTTTGTTACGATACGACACCATTCTACATGTTGGAGGAGCTACTGTGTTGTTAAATTTGTATTCCAAATGGAAGTGGAAGCTACTGTAGCTAAACTAGCTTACTAACATTAGCACTAGATTTTAAGTTATTTTAACACCTGGCTGGAGATCAGCAGGTCCTGCTCACTCACTGCTGTGTTTCTACGGCATTATACAAAGGTGACAAGGAGCCCAAATAGTGCTGTCTTGCTTTCTTGTGTCCAGATGTGGAGTATTTGCATTTCGCGTTGGTGGAACATAACCAGGTTGTAAGTAGAGCTTCAAAATGCCAAAAGAAGAAACAGGAGCAAGAGACAAAACAATAGAGGAGGCAATTTATTGAAAATTGCATTTAAACTCAAACCGGCTGTTCATCAGCTGATCAAAAGTTTAAGACCATAGCCTTAAAAAGTCCAAATCTGTGCAAAAATCTGGCTTTCATGTCATTTTCTATCAGGCATTCACACTGTCATGACCACCTGATGGCAAAGGCAAAACGGCTTTCTGTCTTTGAACGTGGCAGGATTGTTGAGCTGCTCAAGCAAGGCCTCTCCTAACGCGCCATCGCTGCCGAGGTTGGACGCAGTCATTTTAAATTTCTTAAAAGACCCAGAGGTTTATGGGACAAAAAGGTCAAGTGGTAGACACAAAAAAATTTCACCTGCGCTGAGCCGGAGAATCCAACGGGCTGTCCGTGAAGACACAAACCGATCCTCGGCCCAGATTAAGGCCCTTACTGATGCTGACTGTAGCCCAATAACCATCAGACGGCATCTGCAACAGAAGGGCTTAAAGAACAAAAAACATCTTCTAAGGCCACGTCTCCTCCCACACCACAAACCTGCAAGGGAGCACCAAACATGGGTGATTGAAAGGTGGAAGAAAGTTTTATTCTCTGATGAGAAAAAATTTTATCTTAGCGGTCCTGATGGCTTCCAACGTTACTGGCATGACAAGGAGACCCCACTGGAGATGTTTTCTAGGCAGCACAGTGGAGGAGGCTCCATCATGATCTGGGGTGTTTTTTCCTTCAATGGAAAAATGGAGCTTCAGGTTGTGCAGGGACGTAAAACTGCGGCTGTCTATGTGGAGATGTTGCAGCGGGCATCCCTCTTGACTGAGGGCCCTCGTCTGTGTGGTGATGACTGGGTCTTTCAACAGGACAACGCTGCAGTTCACAACGCCCGCCTGACGAAGGACTTCTTCCAGGAGAATAACGTTGCTCTTTTGGAGCATCCCGGTGTTCCCCTGATCTAAATCCCATTGAGAACGTTTGGGGATGGATGGCAAGGGAAGTTTACAAAAACTAGGGTAGCATACAGGGTAGCATACAGGGTAGCATACAGGGTAGCGTATGGAGTAGTGTACAGAGAATGTTAATGTTAATGTTACACAGTATAGTAAATGACAATTTGACCAAATAAGTAGGCAAGAAGTGTACGGGGTAGGTTACCGGATAGTGTGCGGGGTAGGTTATGGGGTATGTTACCGGGTAGAGTATAGGGTTGATTACAGGGTATTGTATGGACTAGTAACCGACTGTTGTTAGTGACCATGCACAAACATATTGCACCAATCAACAGTACTGACATTATGCATTTATGTCGGTAGCTACTGCAATCTATTGGAGGACACCAATATAGGGGGCGTTACTTCAGAAAACAAAATAAAATAAAATGTTCTTATTTGTGGTTGTTTCAAATTTGACGAAATAAGTACACATCAAAACAAATGCAAAGCATTTTTTTTTATGTAGCTTTTGTGATGATTTCTTTGCAGAAAAGTTCATCTTCAGTCAGACTTTAACTGTATTTCAACGAGGGCACTGTTTTATATGGTACTGTATTTCTTCGTTCACTTCAGGTTAATTGTATGTTTAAGGTTTCTAAAATAATGTTTTTTAGTCCTTGGTACTTATTTAATCAGATGCTTTAAAGGTGGGAATTAAATTATGAGAAGTTTTCAGACTTTTCAGTTTTTACATTGTATTTCAAGTTACTACTCATCATCGTAAATTGGCATCATCAGTTCGCTCTTGCATATGCACCATTCTCAGAATTTTCTGAATTTCACTCACTTTGATGCTTTCTTCACGGCAATAACAAATGCCTGTTGGTGGTGTTGTTTTGATGTCAGCAGCAGCACCATCTCAAATCACCAGTTTAATGCATGCAGCAGCACAGGGAGCTGCTCTTTGAATGCCACTCATGGAATATCCAGTGAAAAGTGACGGCTGCTATGAAGAAGGGGCTGTCTGCTGTACTGTGATAATTCATAATTACATGCAAACTCCCCGGGGGTAGTTTTTACATTAGGAATTAAAACATCTCCTGTGAGTGCTCGCTTGTCCAAATAGGATGTGAGCTCCTACCAGAACAAAAACCCTGCCTCCCTCACATTGCTGATGTTTAAGCCGAACAGCGTTTTCCAGCTTACCTCCCTCCCACCACCTTGCTCCGCTCATTTAGCTTCATGCATTTGCATTTATGTGTGTTTGTTTGTTTTGGTCTGTTTTCACTTCTGAAAACTAGCCTCCAAGTAACTGGTTCTCTCACAACGTACAATAAGTCTCACCCTCCATCTTACAATATTATAACAGTATAACAATACACTGTAAAAAAAAAAAAAAAAAGTTCATTTAACTCAAAGAAAATGTATAACTATACTGACATCGAAAGGTTTAGGTAGCACTCAATTTTGTAAGTTAAAAAACATTCTTGGTCTTGATTAATTCTAAGTGACACTGACTTCATTTTGTAATTTTTATTTGTACTGTGAAAACAAAATACCCAGTAAAAAGTATTTAATGCAATATTTTTTAACGTACACTGTACACCACTTGAGTTTGGTAGTTTGAATAATTGCACATTTGTTAGAGAATTCCTTTGTCAAAACCTATAAATCTGTTTTTTTGGTGTGTGTTGTACTCAAAGTTTGATTTTATCAAATTAGCCAACAAGCTGACACAGAAAATCTGGGGCCAGATCATATTATTCCAGCATATACTATAGCAGGGTTACTGCTTGGACTCTGGGCAAATAAGGAAGTTGCCACGTACTGTATAGGCTGCTGTTTGCACTGCACTTAATCATCTTGGAGGCGGCAGTGTGCAGTGCATACACGTTGCACATAGAGGGTTAATGGGAGCCCAACGGCACATTTTTGACCCTGGAACACCTTTGGCAGGTTAATCCAGCCCTGCTCACCACAGGTTGCATATCTCCATAAACCTTCAGCAGTTCACCCCACAAATTATGGTATCTTCTCAGACTGTTTCATTACAGACCTGAAAAAGTGAAACTGTTTAGTACATCAAAGGAAAAAGGTTTTGTAGTAGCAGAAGTGTATTTTCTTCCTTCCTATCTTGTTAATCTTCTCGCCACCCCTCAGATTTGTCTTGCAACTCCTAGGCTGGGACTCATTTCTGTTGCCAGGAAACAGATCTACGTTAATTTTCCACCAGTTGTTAAAATCCAAAATATTCATTTCTGAGATATGATCAAACACGGAGATCTTCATCAGGCTTTGCCAAGTAAACATCACAGAGCAAATCAAGCAAAATATACGGACAGGAACACACTCATCACACATGATTAATGAATCATCCCGATATGGACCAATCCCAGCAGCACTGAGGAATACTGATACTTCTGTGGTTCCTCTATGAAATTAGAAAAATAAAAAAAAAAACATGCAGAATCAATAGACCTTTTTCCAGCCATTTTGAAATGAAATAGTAGGGTAAACACAGGTGTTATCAATGATACTAATTAAGGTTTTGTTCCATTTAGGTCAAACAAATACATTTTCGAACATGTGAGTTTTAGTTTCTGTTGTTTATGAGGATTTATTCATTGAGTTTGTATATAAGGTTATTGTTCATTTTTCTGTTCTTTCATCTTGTTTTTTATTATTCTTTCTTTCTTTGAAATAAATACAAACAAACAAGCAAATAAACAAAGTCAGGGTGCTGCTTTATGCACATTGGTTCACTGGAAAGACTACATGGAACGAAGCCCTAATTATTATCAAAATGGCTACTGTTAAAAAGGTCTGTTACAACCACCAAATAAGCCACAAATCACCCCAACAGAAAACAATAAAAATAGAAACTGAAACATGGAAATATAAGGACATAATTATTGTAATAATAATAATAATTATTATTATTATTCTTATTATAATTATATGTAAATTGCACATATTCTTTATACTTCCTCTGCACATTCCTGCACAAACTGTACATATTGGACATATCTTTTCTAATATTTTGTACTGTACATTTTCCTATATTCTTTTTGTTTCTCGACTTTTTAACTTTCTCTTACTCTATGTTCATTATGCACCAAAACAACAAGGCAAATTCCCTGCATGTGAAAACGTATTTGACAAAGAACCTGATTCTGAAAAAAACCTATATTATTAGTGGACCAAAAAAAGTTTGTCAGGCATTTTCTTTTTCAGTTGGGACACTTTATTTTGATAGCCTTTAAAATTGATTTTTATTTATTTATTTTTTTTTGAAAAGAAAGGGAAATTGAAAAAAATGCAAACATTTAAGCTGCTTCGGTTTACTTGGACTTTTAAGGTGGTCTCACAAAAAAAACGAGTAAGCACTGGGCTACATTTGTTTTCCGTCTGCAGCTCGTGAAAAATGCCTTGTGTCATCTTTCACCGTCATATTCCCGCCGTGTACACCGGGAGGAGCGACTGGGGGAGGGGGAGGAGGAGGGGGAGGAGGAGGGGGAGGCAGCCGAAGCAGCGAGCACGAGGGGAGGGCTTTTTGCTAGCAGCCCCGTAGTGCTATTCTCCAAACTCCGCTGCGCACGTTCGGCGGAGTACGCGCGCGCTTCCCGCCGGCACCAACGCAAAGCCGCACCGCCGCTGACGATGTTGTGAATGAGGGGATGGAGTGACGTCAGCGGCCGAATGTCAACAATGTAGCGGCTGAGAGTAGGCGTTCCAGTCGAGTGTAACAAACAGCGGAGACGGAGCGGCACGCCGCGCTGGATTCTCCACGCACACATCACACACGCGCGCGCAGTCGTACACACCGTAGAATCACAGACGTTGTGTGTGTGTGTGTGTATGTGTGTGTGTTTTTTTTTAAAGTGAGAAATAACCGAGTTGCGGGCAGCTACGGGATAAGAAGTCACCTTATCTGCAGCCGGGAGGGCTTTGAGGAAACGACAAAGCGAGCCATCATGTGAAAGAACTTATGTGGGAAACGGAAAGAAGGGCTGGAATACGAGCGGAATAGAAAGTAAAAGGTGAGCTGCACGTTTCTTCTTCTCGCTCTGTTATTTCTTCCCAATCTCAGCCTGTTGTGGATGCTCTCTCTCTCTCTCTCTCTCTCTCTCTCTCTCTCCCACGACCGAGTTGCAAACTTGTGTTAAGTGTCGCAGCGGTGGGCTCCAGCCAGGAGAGCCCTCACCGCTCGGATATCTGGGAGGAAAAGTCACTTATAGAGGAAAAAACCGCATGCATGAATCTCGAAAGCTCGGCGGTGGTGCGAATATTGAAGGGTGTAATGTGCTGGGGTGTGAACGCGGGTTCAGGAGTGAAACTCAACTCTACCACATCCTGTTATGCTTTGAGTCAATACGCTGTGTGCGCTCCCTTTTCTCTCGGTTTTTTTTTTTTTTTTTTTTTTTTTTTTTGCGAAGTAGATGCGTCGGTGATCCCGCAGGAGGGTCAGCCATCCCGCCGCTCCAGCGGGGAAAAACAGCTCCATGAAAGAAGAAGCTGTCATCAAACGCCTCCCTTAATCACTACATGTATCATCAACTTCATTAGGAATATAATAGGTTATTATTGTTGTTGTCATTATTATCATTATTATCATTATTCTGTGCTCTACGGCATTTTTTCTGCCATTTCCCAATGTTAAATTTACTACACCTCCTCCTAAGTTCACATTAAAAAAATCCAAATATTTGCTGTGTAAGGACGAGCCTTATTTGCTCCGGCAGCCAATGGAATCATCCCAACCGCTCGACGGTGTCATTTAAGAGCCAATATATATTATTAACCCCTTATATGAAAAAAAAAAAGGAAAAAGATCGGGAACAAGCCCGACTGCTATCCCCTTGCAGGAGAATGGAAGATGTTGGACTCTCAGGTGGTGACTGTTATCACAACAGCTGCGTCTTTACGCGCGGTCCTGCATTGTCATGTGAACGGGCGCTGCAGCAGTGGCTTAGTCACAACGCTATGAGATCCCCTGTCACTCCTTTTATGTAGGGGTGAGTGGTGTAGCGGCGAATTCTGCTGCGATGCAACTCGGTGACAAGAGGATATAGAAAATAAAATGAGTTTGTGTGCAGAGACACAGCTCTTATGGATATGTTTCGTTTAAAATCATTTCAGAAAGCAGTTTGGTGGCGCATGCCGTTACGCATACGACCCCTTAACGCGTTAAAGGTGCCTAAACGAGTTTGTAACAGGAATAAATGGGCTTCAGCTCAGCTCTGAGTGTCTGGTGGTGTAAAATGAAGCATGAGTCCGCTCAGGCACTGGCAGATGAGCAGGCAGAATAAATGTGTTTATTCCGGGGACACTATTGTTTGATCGCCACGTGTTTTGCCTCGGCGGCTGAATCCTTCGGGGAGCGCAGTGATGCTGCCATTAACGCGGTGATACAGCATTTTGAGGAGCGGTGACATCCCACTGCCTCTTTGTCTGTTTGTGCTGATGCAACGGGATGATGGCACTGAGGGGACCGCAGCATCAGCCTCCATCCTCAGCCCCCTCTCTCATCATGTCGCCTTATTTCTGCTTTTTCTCTGAAAGGATAATTATTGGATTTCATGAACGCGCGCTGCAAGGGATTTTGAGCGCGTGAGGAGATGCACTTTAGGTCAGGCAGTAGTGTATAGCGGTTGTCATGTTAAAGGGGGAGGCTGTAATGAAAACACTGACATCGCTCTGCTTTCACAACACGTGCACGGTGGCAGCACTCATGCGCAGTTTTACGCACTGGAGCCTTTTGTTCTGTACAGTAGCCCCCGCTGCCTTTCTTTTTCCCATGCACGGCAATCCCCTGCTTATTGTGAGGGGGGGGTCCAAAACTGTAAACCCCACAGTGACTCAGTCAGGCTTAAATGCCACTTCATCCAATCAATCCTGCTTACACCACACTGTCATCTGAAATGTGCAATTCCTGTACATTCACTGCTCTGCATCGGGGATCATTGTTTCCTTTGTCCATCAGTGTGAAGAGGAATTGAATGAAAACGACATTTTGACCTTGATAGCTAATTTTCTACAGTATAATGATAAAACAAATACTAATAATTTAGAAAATGAGTCAGTTCTTCTGTATTTTAACACTAAACATAGTTTAACAGTCATTAACACAAACATACTATGAGCCAAGAGCCTGAAGTAGGCCTAGTAAAGAATATAGCATAGTGTTGTTTTGTGTGTATCACAACAGTTCAGTTATTGCGTCACATTTTTATGAATCCGTCTCTCTTCTGCACCGTATCATTATTGTAAACGCTGCAGCTTGTAAGTTAAATGAGTGATGTTGTTGTTTGGGGGTCAGGGCTGTTTCCAGGAATTAGCCATGGGAAGATATGACAATTTGATGCTATCATTGTCTTGTTTAAATGAATTGTCATACACAGTATTATCACTACAATCCTGAAAATATACTTGGTACTTTTAAAATGGCACTACAACATAGTGGAGTCATTTTACCATACATTCTGTTAATAAGCACATATGTTAATGCAGATAGGCACTTCATCTCCCTGCTCTGTGTTTTGGAATCTATACTATTTCCACACATCCTGTTAAACTTTGTGGGGGGCAAGCTGAACCTTCAGCCACGGTGACAGGATTAGGATTCTGGACTGACTGGAAAGATGGGCTCCCCCTTGTTCCCTTGTTCAAAATCAACCAGGAAATGAATATAGGACTGTATGGGATACTCATATCTACGGAGCCCCTAAAGGGACATGGGGAAGAAAATAAAAATGAAACTCACTCACTCACGCGCTCACGAGATACTTTCTCGTGCTCACGAGAGGTCCGTGTATGTTTTGGTCATTGGATTTTCCTTTCAGAAACGGGCATTAAAAAACAGAAAACGAGTGGTTATTTGATTTTCGTTTTAAAATACAAAAATTCAAATTGAAATACAAGGCGTTTTTCTTTTTCATGGTCAAAAAGGGATGAGCGAAATATAAAAAATGATTCGATTTTCATTTTCTATTTCATATAACAAAAAATAAAATCACTAGAAAACAGAAACGGAAAAATGGCCTGTTTTTGAGACCGGATGTTGTCATTTACAGGACGGTGCTGTGGAGAAGAACGAGCAAGGTACGTTTTATCGTGAGTCCGATCTCCATGGTCAAATCAGCCACACTTAAATTTCGAGTGTACAAGTATTCTCAGCATTATGGTAAATGCGGAGAAACAGCGTATTTACTTCCGGTTTTCAAAATAAAGGTATTAAGAACAGTAAGCTATAATTCGAACCTACATTTAAAATAAAATATGTTACATTAAAGTGTTTTATGCGCCCCTGATGAATAAAAAACACTTTATATCAAGTATCTTTACTGCACCAGTGTGGAGAAATGCCCAAATAAAAGTCTTTATTATATTTTATAATATTTGACCATATTTGAGGTACTGTAAAAACATATTGCTCAGTGTTTCCTGGCTACTGATGGTATATTTGACTTTTACACATATGAGACTACAAGCATACTTAATATCAAGCATTTTTACTGTACCAATTTGGAAAAATTCAACAATAAAAGTCGTCCATATTTGTACCTCCAAGTGGCTATTTTCATATATTTGAGCTACTAAAACCTTTGCAAAATTCCTGGCAATGGATGGTTTTTACTTCACATTAAGACTACAAGCATGCTTAATATCAAGCATTTTTCCCTTCCCAACTCGAGAAAATTAAAAAAAAAAAAATATATTTTTTCCCAAGTGGTATTTTCATATATTTAAGCTACTGTAAAAACATATTGCTCAATAATTCCTGGCTATGGATGGTATATCTTCCCTCATAATTGATGAATAATATATATATATATATATTATAATAATGAATAAAATCTTCATGAATAATACAGCATTTTAGCTCATTAGTGCCCAGGTCATGTGACCTAATGACTCCAAATCAGTGGTGGATCACATGACTACACAGACTGGTTAAGACACACCTCTTTTCATTAGCTTTCAATGGTCTTCATAATTTACACCAATAAGTCAATATAAAAAACGCAACCAGTCAAAATTGCCTTTTAATACTAATTTTAATTTGAAAACCGGAAGCTGGTCTTCTCTGTACAGTTACCGTAAAGGTCGCAATATGGTTGTACGTAAAATGTAGGAGCGGCTGGCTCGAGCAAGCCAAAACGAGAAACGGCTGGCTTGACCGCAGTGCCGTACCCTACTACGAAAATCAAATAACCACTCGTTTTCTGTTTTTTAACACCCGTTTCTGAAAGGAAAATCCAACCACCAAAAGATACACAGACCGGACCGCCACATACTATCTGTTCTCAGGAGATACAGCCTTAAGCCTGACACTCATCTGTCCTCCTTTTGAGAAAATAACTAAAAATGTGCGCCTTTTGACACATTACCTTGTTAGTTTAATACTTATTGGCTAAAAATGTTGCCATGTGTTGATTCCCGCTCAGGCCTACCACCAGGCTGTCAATCAAGCCCTCAGCTACAGAGAACACAACGTTAGCTAACGTCGTTGTTGGTTGTACAAATATGGACTTTTATTGTTGAATTTCTCCAAATTGGTGCAGTAAAAAAGCTTGATATTAAATATGTTTTTTATTCATCATGGTTGCATGAAACACTTTAATGTAACATATTTTATTTTAAATGTAGGTTCGAATTATAGCTTACTGTTCTTAATACCTTTATTTTGAAAACCGGAAGTGAATACGCTGTTTCTCCGCAATTACCATAATGCTGAGAACATATTACATTTAATAATTATTATATTCTATAATTTGGAGAAATTCAACAATAAAAGTCCATATCATATGTTCTCTGTAGCTGAGAGCCTGTTGTGGCAATCAGCACATGGCTCATTTGAATATTAAAATGAGCCATGTGTTGATAGGTCAGGACATGAAAATGTAACCAATGAAATTACTTATTTTGACACACATTTTTAGCCAATAAGTATTAAACTAACAAGGTAATGTGTCAAAAGGCGGACAGTTTTAGTTATTTTCTCAAAAGGAGGACAGATGAGTGTCCGGCTGCAGGCTGT